GAGCGCCCCGGGGGAGCCGGAGGAGAGCCTGGCCTTTGTGAGTGCTGCCACGGGGGTCCTGGGCACCATCCGGGCTTACGGGTCTTGCCACGGGTGTCTCCAACCCCCGAGTTGTGCCAGTGAACCCTGCGGGGGCAATCGGAGGTGAAAATGAGCTTTATCTCCGTTTGAAGGCAGCCAGGAACACTGCTCCTAAAAAGAATAATTAATTTTAATGATTTTTGGTAGGGTCAAAAGCCACCGTGGTGTCCACGTAGCCTGGCGTCACGTTTACACAAGCCCTGAGTTGATTCCCCTCAAATAAGCTGCATATTTTAAGGAGAAACGCATCGGTTTTAAAAAATCAGTCAGGTGGGGAATCCTGCCAATGCGCTAGTCAACTGCGGTTTATTACTTAATTATTCGTACTGTGCGCTCTGCACTTTTAATTTTAGCTGGATCTATAAATTTTCAACGTGTTACTAGAAGCTACCTTCCAGGGTAGGTAGCACAGCTAAAACTTAGCAGGTTTGGGCCCCCCGGATGTGAGTTTTTTCTCAGAATTCCTGGATGTTCCTTGGTTTATCAGTGCCGGATTTTGAACTCCATGCCGTAGCTTTGCATTTTGAGGTTCCTGTGCCGTACCCGGCTGACCAGTCCCCCCCTGTATCGATGCTGCTCTTCGCCTTGCCATTCATCCATAAAGGATGTCAGCGAGCCGAGATTTTATTCCACGTTGCTGATTTTTAAAAAAAAATTAAGTAGAATGTTTCAGGGTCTGGAGCCAATCTCTACTGTACCCGTTAGAAACACTTAAGAAAATCTTTATTGATGCTTATCTCAGGGATTTCTGCTTTGAGGGTTATTATAAGAGGACTAAAAGTGCATTAAATATAGGATGATGAGTTCAGTCCCCTGTAATTAATGTCTAAATGTTACAGAAGCTCCTGCCCTTCTGAGATGATTTATTTCCATATTGTAATTTAAATCCTGAAAGGTTGAGATAATATATGGAAATGAATCATCTCCATATTCCACATAACTTCCACCTCGGCACTGTGAAACTTCTGGGGGAGCCGAACTCTTCGTGACTGCTTCGGGGGGCCTGGGCAATCCTGGTCCTCCCCCGGTATGGGGGCTTTCAGGTGCCTTCAGGTGTGGATGAAGGTGCACAGGGTTATCGGAGCTTATTTAATACACTTTTATATGCCAGCAGAGCATATTAAAAATATATATATTAATGCCTCCTGCGTCAGAATTGCTAATGAGGTTGCCAATGGGGAGTGTAGCAAGCTGTTGATGGCGCTGTTTCATGTAGCTCTGGCTTGGTTTCATCGTTAGGAGTGCAGATTTCTCCCTGTCTTCGTGCTTTGTTTGGTTGTGCTGACCTTGCTTTGCTGCTGGTAACGTTCCTGGCAGTCAGTGGGATGTAGGGAGCATCCGACTCGGCGTTTACTAAGTTGGTTTTCAGACTTGCCTCTTTCCTCCGTCCATTCACTGATTTTTCTTGCCTTGGGCCGCACTGTGGTGACAGCCAGGAGAGTGATACAGGTTTTCTTTAAACTGTGGTAGTATCAGCAGAATTGCTTGGCATGACTTCAAGTGAGAACCTCAAAAAAAAAAACCACCCAAAAAACAAAACCAAAAAAAACCCTGATTTTTTTTTTTTAGGTCATTGCTTTTAATCTTTTACTTCAGATGGTAAAAACATTCTCGGAGCTGTAGGCTTGCCTGTGCTGTGCTCTGCACGTTGCTTCCCTGATACACTTCCAGCCTTGCTCTTGCAGAGCATTAATAGGGATCAGGGATCCGGGCTTTGAATATCTGAGCGTCCTTTCATGGGAGCAGGAGCTAGGAGTTGCTGTATGAGGCTGCCTTCTTTTTTCTTTCTGTGCGTGTTGCAGAGAGTTAAAGGAGGAGGTGTGTGCGCTCTGTACCTGGCTAGCTAGATTCAATCCAAGCTCAAAATAATTCAATAGACATTGTCCAAGCTGTTATTGCACAGATTTTGAAACAAAACATCGTTACGTTTGCTCTGCGTGCTGCTTGCCTGGCTCGTAGATGCAGGTGTGGGAAGGGAAGATGGAATACAAGCTGCTGTAATGCTGCGATGTAGCAAAACTCACGTAAAATCTGCTTTCACCTCTCGCAGGCTTCAGCATTTCAGGTAGAGGAGGAGCTAAAGGAGCAGCAACGGGAGAAGGCAGCCAGCCTGAGACGTTTCCAGGGAGAGGTGAAGCAGCGGGTGAACCAGCAGGTCAGGATGCGAAGAAAGCAGCAGCTGCAGAAGTCCTACGAAGCAGTAAGCAGATCTCTGTCCCTGCCTCTCCAGGAGTCTTGCAGGAGAAACTCCTCTGAAACCAGTGTAAATCGGAAAAAAAACCCACTAGACCTCAAGTCAAGGTGTTAATAAGAAAAAAAAGAGGAAACTCGTGGTCACGGCAGACCCCGTGGCAGCAAACGGTGTCCACTCAAGTGAGGTCAGCATGACATCTTGGCTCGCTCTGGTGCTGAAGGCGCTTTAAGCCCTTTGCCTCCCTGCGGAAAGGTCTCTGGCTCTCTCGGGCAGCAGAAGAACAGAGTCCCGGTGCCCTGTGCAGAATTGCTTGGAGTTAAAAAATAGCCAGGCCAGTTGTGACTAATGTGGATGTCTCCTGGTCGAGTTTTAAACGGAGCAGCTCATTTCTGCGATCCCTTTTCCAGGGCAGTCAAATAGTTCGCAGGCAACACTTTCACGCTGTCTCCACATTCCCGTTTCCCCCGTGGGCTTGTTTTAGATTATCCTGTGAATATATTTAATCCTTTCTACTTTTAAACAAACTGCCAGAAAGACTTTCCAGAAACTGACTGTGGAGCAAGAAGGGAATGCACCGAAATGGCCACGGTTTTGGCCACCCCTGGGGTGTTTGGGCTGTTTCCAGGGCTCGGGAGGCATGGTTGAGCGGGCATGTCCTCACGTAACTCTGCTAGCACCGCTCCAAACTGAAAGCCCGCGGGTGCTTTCAGCCCCTGAGAGTCTGGTGGCTCTTTGTGCCCCTCTCAGCACGGAGAGTCCATCCCAAGAAATGCCACCAAATTGAGCCAGCAACTCCCGCCCAGCGCGGGTGATGTCCTGCTAGGTGATGGTTAGAGATTTGCACGTGGCTTTTTAACTCGGGGGTCTGTGTCCCGGCAGGCAGAGAGGGAGAGCTGCGTGGCCGTGCAGTACTCAGACTCCGCGCTGCATTTGACCCCCAGGAAGAACACGTGCCTGTTTCGGAGCCACCCCGCGCCCGCCATCTGTGGTGCCGGTGCTCGTGCCGTCCCGGCACAGCGGCAAGGGATGCAAAGCGAGCCGTTCCAGCAGCAAGCCGCCAAGGTGAGCGGTTCCCCTCCTGCATTTTTCATCTCTGCTTCGTCATGCTGGGTGCTTGTGGTTTGAAATGGAGGACAGGCAATGTTTATCTTTCTACCCCCTTTTACGACACATCCCTAATTTTTTTTTTTTATACTGAACGAAACATTGGCTTACATTTTCACTCTGGTTTACTGCATGTTGTTATAGTCCTCCACAGCTCTTAGTAGAGCCTCAAAACTGATAGTAGATGTCGTCTTGGAGGATGCTGTGGTTGTACTTGCCCCACTGCTTTTAGATACAGTGAATTTTCCCTCCGCGTGCAGGGACTTGTTGCTGTGCAGGCATGTCGTGTCAGAGAGGTGGCACTAGGTGGTGCCACCTCATTGCAGCTTGTCTCCTGCAGACCAGGAGTATGGGATCGTGAAATCTTCGAAAACCTGCCTTAGGGACTGTTTTAAGCCTTTTTTAATAGTGATGCTTATGCTGCATTTGGCATTTTAGAAAGCATGTGTGTTCACCTAGGAGCTGGAATCATTCCGGTTGAAGTACTGCTTTCCTTGGGGTGGGGAACCCCTTCTGGCTGGACACCAGGCAAGACAATCGGGGATCTGGGACTTCTGGCATCTCAGCAGAGTGATTTGGGAGCAGATGAGCTGTAATCAAGTCAGAATTTCAGTGCATTGGGGCAGCTCTGAAAGACACTTTGGGTTGCAGGTTACCTTGTACCTATTTGCGAAGCTAATTTTGTGTTTTGTTACGCTCTCTTGATAAAGCACCTTGGTTGGAGCAGGATGCATCAGGAGGTCTCTTCTGCACAGCTAAACTTCTTGGCGTAGCCCTCACAGAAAGCAGCTAGTGACCTCTTGTTTTGTCTTGTCTTTACTTTGCCTCTTCGTGGCAGCTTAGCAAAACTGTGAAGCAGGTTCGGCGCAGGCTGGCATCCTGCAAAACCGTGCCCCAAGGAGCGGGTCCCCCCGAACTCCCTGGCGGTGTCTGGAGGCAAGAGGTGAGTGAGGGGTGCCTGGGGTAGGGTGAGAGGAATTACTTTGCAAACTGTTGAAGGTCTGGCTCTAATTAGCAAATCCACAGCAAATCCATAGTTCAGTGAGTTTCTCCAGCACAAGCGAAACAAACTGGGCTTTCGTGACCCACCTGATGATTAGCTCATGGATTTCGGTGGCCTGAGGGCTCTGTCCCTCTGTTCTTGCTGCCTTTCAGAGAAGGCAGCAGGATAAAGTGGGTGAAAACGTCTCTGTTTGCAGAGACTAACAAGAGATAAACTAGGAAACAAGAATTCAAAAAAGATTTTTTTAAAGGCTGAGATTGTGATCTGGGTATCTGGGAGGAATGTGATGATCAGCCCTCCCCTTAGGTGCCTTTAGTTCCTCAACAAACTTCAACAC